TAATTCAACAACGCCCTAATCACAGATAGGCTAATTGATTGACAATTTGCCCAGCAATGGCCCCGCACTGGTTAAAGGTAGCGATTTCTATAGTTGAACAATGTAAATGAGACTAAATCTGTAAGGGGACTTAGTGATTAAGTACGTATATATCAAACCATTGACCATAAATGCCTCGTAGACTAAATTACAAGTTAGAGTTAGTTCATTTCATCAGTGTTTTCCCCGAGGGATAGGCCGGTCCTTTAGTGAAGCTCGACATGAATGTCACGTGATATAATATGATTGACACTTTACTATTGTCAATTACATGTACTTTATGGCCATAACGTTTCATTTCATTGTTATTTTATACGTGTGACAAGCGTGATGCGATGTCTATTGCCGCTATAGAATGATCTCTCGTAGAATACAAATGATCTACAATCAATATATATCAGGTTAGTACTTTGGTCTTATAGGTATTTATATGTCGCAATATTCTCACCTTTTACTGGCTGGTTTAAAATAAACTTACAATCGCCATCCATAAATGTTCTACGGTTTTTTTCGGCATACAATATTAATTTGCTGATTTGTAAAACCGTATTAAAGGAAGGGTATTTCATGTTGCATTACGTGTCCATACAAATAAAATGAGTCATTAAAATACTGGTAGTATATTAAAATATGTTTATACTTGGTATGACTGAAACATAAATAAAATTAAATGCACGACCTTAGACATGAGGCTTATTAAAGTTGGGTTTTATTCAAGACGTACACATTCACACGCATGATACATATATGATATGGATTTAATTCTATTGCAACCGTGTATTTAAATCATCCGTTATCCTGATTACCTTGATAAGAGTTAACTAGAGTTTCATATGTACATACTTTTACATACATACCTGGCTGATATTAACTTCTTTCGTTACAGTTTAACCGTTATGAAAATAATTCTGTCTTCTCCGACATCCTACAAACGAGGCATATATAATACACTGTCGTGCCCATCGGTCCGTGCATGTTAATTAGATCCTCTAATTATATGTAATGAGTCAGACAGCAGTTTAGTTACAGTGCAATTAGCGTGAGAAAATTATATCGATATTTTCAAGAACTGTAGATGAATCCTGTGTTTCATTTTCTTGGCTCGTGTGCTACTCCATCATGCATCGGTGTGACAACCCATCCCTTTGATTTTGCCACGTGATAATATGTTGGGTCAGAGTTTACTTTTTCAACGTCATTTAAACTTATTATTCGTATAATTCGCGTGGACTGCTGAGATTTATCATTTTAGTACTCGATGGTTTCGTTTCTTAGGTTGGCCGCGAAGGTAATATTCTTGGTCATTAGCGTATGTATTTTGTTACTTCAAAGACAATAAAAATCTCGTAACTGTATAATAAAATATTCCTCGTTTTGTGAGGCATTATTGGCTTTGTTTAATGAAATGATACACCGTGTAGCTTTCCGATTCTTTTTCTCGGCAATGATTTCTGTTGCAGTTAACATATTTTGCAGCCTCGTAGATTTTGATTTATTATCAATGTTCAAAATTAATCGATCAGTTCGGAAATAAACGAGCCACATTTAGGACAATGTTGAATTACCCACGGCTAAGTTTGTTAGTGCATTTTGGTCTTTTTTTTTGTTCAGTGTTGTGTTCATTTTATTTCGACAAATATGGTTTGACAAAAATATAACGATACATTTTGTTCCGAAAACGTCCTCGCAACGAATATATGTTGACTGTCGTACTAGTTTAGCGGATTTGTTGTAAATATGATAAACATTATAATAAATTGAATGAGGATGCGTATCTTTGATTGAAATGTGTCGTTGTTCATGAACGAAGATTACCATCGATGCCGGGTCAACTTTTTATTCGCTATCCTCGCTACTGACCCATATCGACCTATTAGGAACCCTGCGATAATTATATTGCAATACATTTTTTTTTAAACGAACACTCTCTTGTTAGTAGGCGCGAGTCATCAAGTACAGTTAATAAATGATATAACTGTCATAGCAGATGCTAATTTTGCTTATTCTTATAAATTGCTGTAACGGAATGATAGCAAAGTAAAAAACATTGACATCAACTCGTGTTTATATCAGTGATAACCATTAAGGGGTATAAAAACCCGATAATCTCATGTGATTTATGATATTCATAGTTGATAACACGGAGTTAGCTCCCTTTGGTCGTCAAACAACAGAGGGCGCGATTTCAAAATTTATGATATTGCACGAATTGTGAATTGTAATGTACAATTTATGTCTCTTGAGACAAGACCGAGCCTTGTAAACGATGTTATAAAGATTTATGATTGATTATGGTATTTACCCTCTACAATACATGACCTTCTAGTTCTTCTCATTATTTATGATTCTTTATCTATAGGACGGATAACATATGATTATTCAAATTTAACGAAACAAACATCAATTTATTTCAGTGTATTCCAATAGTTTATTGAAAATATATATAATTTGATATATTTAATGCCAAATGCATTGCTGAAAGTCAACGTTGAATATTTTTAAGTACAATAACAAATGTTTGCATCACAAATGAAACAAAAGATACGGATCTGAAAAAAAACATGTATATAGACTATGCAACTAAAACAAATGAATCTAGCTTATCTTTTAACGAGTCGTGGAGGATACACGCGTTCAGGATGATTGGCAGGCGCGTGTAATATGATGTAAACAAGGCCCATCAGACATTTGTATTACATGAGAGTTCGACATACAAATCAATTAAACATAATGACAAACATATAACTATGGGTCTCATATTTAGCAACAATAATAGTTTACCCGAACATTTACAGAGACGTTATCAAATGTTATGTTTATTCTATTATTGTATCTTTGTTACGTACAAACCAACACGACCCAATATGTATCGATTTCGAACGTGACAACACAATGGCCTTAATCAAAGATGCATGGTTGTTAATACAGTTTGGCCTTTGATCTGACAGGAGCACGATTTCTTCAACATAAACTAAGCTTAGCTTCAACTTTTTTCTTGGAGGGGGGATACATTTTCTCACCTTCTGCTCAGAAGATTGCTCCTTGTAAAGATGCCTTTCGTTTTTGACTCGATATCAATTAGTTTTTGTTTCTTTTTATGAGAAAATGTTTTTGTCAGTGTCATCATAAACTGACCAATAAGGTTGACGAACAAGTACATCGACACACCTTTCTCATACTGACAAGCAGTTAACGTGTGATCGGAACCAGGTTATTGTTCCAGTCGCACACACAAATAAAAAGCACACAATCAAAAATGTCATTTTAGATGCATTCCGCCTAAGTTTCTTGTGCATCGGACAGGTTAAAATCACGATCGAGCATATTTCACAGTCAGTCATTGGCTCGTTACAAATTTCCGAATATAAACGAATAATAAAAACGCGGTGAAGTGATATTTTAGACAAATGTCCTATCTTATTAAATAGTTAGTAGGGTATAAATTGCACACAGCTCACAATAGGTGTTGAGCGTATAGAATACCACGTTAGGCAGTGAGTGAATTGTTAGCCTTTTATATGCAGTAAATGTGGAAGAAACTTGTAAACGCGAGCCAATAAAACAAGCCACGTTCGGGCTAAGGATCGCCCCATTGCTATACAAGAAGTGCCTTTCTTGTGGAGTTTTTTTTGGGTTAAATGCCCCGCTATGAGATATCTATTAAGCCTTTCTCTTTCATAGGAAAATGTGAAATGACATCAAATAAAATGTTATGTCGCTTTTCACTGTTTTTACCTCGTAGTTATGTGCCCCGGGCTATGTATCGTTTCTCTTGAGTATTTCAAATACTTTAGGCTGGAGGACCGCATCAATCATTAATGTACCAGTTATCAGTTTCAACGAATGTTTGACACTCAAACATCAAATGTTGATGTTTATACCGTAATTTTATTCAAGCGCTCACGGATCACATGCTTGTACTTAAGTCTGACCTGTGCCTTGCTCTCGGTACCCTGGAAAGCGAAATAAGCTCAATGTCGAGAGTAACATCGTGACAACTCAGCGTGCAATTTCATTGGCTCAGAGCCCCACTACCGACCCGGTTGTTTAATTAGCTGACACGCACGATGCGGCACGTATTCCAGATCTATTCTCTCTCAAGTGCGCTATTTTAATAGGAAATTTTGTTTCGTTCATAAGCTCTTTTAGATTCTCCAAGTTCGATTATTCTTTCACAAATGCCTGTGAGTTCTACTGCTTTTTAATCGCGGCTGATGTTGTTTACAGGAAATCGGTGAGCGCTCCTACACTGCTATTGAAATAGACACCGCGTTTCATTGGCTACTTGCCGTCACATGGTACTCGCCGTCTAATGCATATGAGATAGCACAGCTCTCCGTCCTATAGTTGCTTTGGTGATATAAAGAGTCTGTCGTTCCGAATGTTCATCGTATTATAGGATATATACTGCACGTGTTTTCCAATGCTATCTTCAGCTTTCGGTACGAGACCGATACAGAGTAGGTATGATGTTCATTTCATGTTGTAGGTTGCATATTATTGTCAATTTCTTATTTGGGATGCCTGTTTCTATCATGTCAGTTTCAATGTAAGGGAGACGACTGGGGAAGCCTTTGCTGGTAGCTCTTCAGTGATAAAGGATAATTAGTAGCTTACAAATTAACATCGTTTTAGTTTTGATTTACGGCACTGTGTTATTATTTATTGCACGAAATGCTTTATGAATGCTTTGATCGTTATCATAAAATGCCCAAACTCGAATATTTCGGTTTCGTATATTGAATGGGACTCTGTTTTGAATCTGTTACATCACGGTTATGACCTTTGTGCATAATGAATGTGATTAATGGTAATTAAACAAGTTCCTTCATTCCATCTTGACACAGATGACGTGTAGCATGTCTATTTCACTTGTACATTGCGCAGTTCATGTCAGTTTCACCCCAATTTCGACTGTTTGCACCGTGACTCAAAATGTCGTAATTTGTTGTCGATTGCAGGTGGAATGAACTAGGATGGAGCCAGCCAATAATATCCTGGCGCACTCGGGGCTGTCGTTCTACCCCTCGAGTGTAACTTCTAGTGGGATCCTCCCCACAAGCCCCGGGACACAGGACTCCGTCCCGCGATCAGCTCTTACCGTGTCGGGCCAAAACGGATGGGGAAATTACACCAACGACGCAGCCCTTGCTCATAATTCTTGCGCTATGTCGACCTACCAGCTAGGAGCATCTTTCTCTATGAACAGTGCCAAAGGACCATACAATTCTTTCTCCAGTCAAGATTATCTGAACAATTGTCGTCAGATGCAGATATCATCACTAGGATCTATGAACTCACTCCCCATGAGAAACTATGCCCCTTTATACGGCGATGTTTATCAACCGGGCCACCCGCCCAGCTATACAAACGGGGGATTCTACCCCGAAATGACGCCGGGCCTTCCCCCGTTACCCGGTCGGGATCCTCTTAGCTGTCCGAGCGGACAGTCCGATTCCTCAGTTCAAGGTAGGCTTATATAGGACAATATCGTTCTTTGTGTTAGTCGAGATACGGTCACGTCAGTTCTAATTAGCAGAAAATGGTTCAGGCGAAATTTGACACATAAACACACACAATAAAGTGAATGTATTTCTTCTAAAACTTAAAGTTGACATAAAGTGGTAATATCAAATTTGATCATTCTGTTAAATAACTGAGTGAGTATTCAAGTTATCATTGCAGTATATTCCTACAATAAGATTGTCTATAGTATTATTTATACATCCGTAGTCAGATCGAGGTCACAGCAAATCCAGACAATGCTAAAACTGAACTATACAAAAGGAGTACAACCGTGTACGTTTTGAAATGGACGCCATTATTTTCTGAATGATATAGGGTAATAACCAGAAACCCATAAGAATCATTAGTTTTATTTGAATGCGTTTATCGTTTCCCACCTGTCCCCTCAATCTCACCTGCCTTGAGGGACAGTGATTGAACACGGCATGTGCATTTCAGTCTAAATCATGTCAATTACAATAGGCAAATTAGGGTTATCTAAAGCATGCTTGTAAACAGTATCTTACTGTTAATAAATCGATGTGAATAGTTGTTGTACATTTACATTGTGCCAATGAGTTCTTTAATCACTGATTAAAATGTCACTTTCAGCCTGGTTGTATATAAACATATGGTATAGGACATGTTCATTGCACCCTAGATATATTAATTGCTGGAATGAAAATGGCACATTAACTTTTCAGTGCAGATATGATTAAAAATTGGTGTTATTTAATGTCAATAAACTTCATGGGTAAACAGTAAATGACATCTGATATACGACATTTTGGTGTTTTTGACAGTGTTAATTTCAGTTATTGATTACACTTCTAAACTCTCAGTTACAACAGGAAATTAATACCACATTTTTCAAACTGTAAAAACTTGTTTCTTTTACAAAAACTCTGGTATGCTGTAGTTATGTAACTGAAGAGTGCCTTCAGATAAACATCCCTATTCGCACTAAGAAGTAATACATCAGACGAGATGTAGATTTCAAAACATGTGAGGGTAAACGCTAACACTTAACCATATTTTATTATCTGTCTAAATCCACGTGCTACTAAATGCTTCTACAATCGTATTTTTTATGGGTGTAATGTTAGTAGAATCCTAAACACGAGGACACTACGCATCAACATTGATGTCACTTTCATAGCATGTTCAGTGATAACAATGATTAAAAATATCATAACTTGCGTCTGGGTATAAAATATTAAAAAACCCACTGAATAGTTATATCAAAATTGTTATTTATTTTTTTATGAGGAACATTGGCATAATTCGTGTACATACATCAATTTGTTTGGAATGTGATAATTTTGATATTAGAAATCAGTAATATGATATCAACATAAGCCTTGAAATAGTGCTTATGTATGTGTTCAAACAAAAATTGATATCATGTAATACGAAATATCTGTGACTTGATTATTTAAAAAATATAGGTGTACAAAACGCACCTTTTGAAATCCAATAATAATTACAGATGGTTTATCTCGGTTAAATTTAATCATATATTGATCAAACTTGACGACAGGTTTTAACAAATTAAGCACGTGTCCACCTTGTTTTTTAAAAATAAATTTTTAATTATATATAATTACAAACATATGGTTTAAAGATGTGATATATTAATATTTAAAATATTTCTATTAAAGAGGGGTTCACATAATGTCATCATGATCATGATACCTTTTCACATTTCATTACATACTGCGGTGATATCGGAAATGAGATAACACTCATTCACATTGCTGAAAAAATAAATTTGCAATTAAATTACATAGATTTACACACGCTTGTTCAGGTGGCCCATTTAGTGTTACTTAGGATTTTTAAAAATCTAATAAGTGCTTACTAGACGTCTTTTCCTCCGCGAATGTCCCAGCGTTGAATTCAGAAATGAGTAATTGTACCAAAAGGAGTAATTTTTCACAGCAAAGAAATGGAATTTAGCTATCCGCTCACGTTTGTATTAGTGTGCCTTTGGTGTGGATTTTGTCGAGTCGAATTTCGTCAGAAAAAGTCATTTTTTACTCCCTTGAGAAATAAGATAAACAGGAAAAAATGCAGAAAGTTGAAAACATCACGAGGATTTCGCCAACATGAATCAATTTCAGTGACAAAACCGATGGCCTTTCCGAGTAAACTTGTCGTTTTCACTTAAGCCAGGGTCATTACTGTGTTAATAAAATTTCCTTTTTGATATGTTTATGTCTCAATTGTATTTGAAATGGAACAAGAGGCAAATGTACGCAAATGGGATAGAGAAAGTTGGAATGGAAACGTAAAAACCAATTCAAACAAGCTTTTCGCATAGTTTCGACACTGTGTTAATGTCGACAAATCAAATAAGGCTAAATAGATTTCGGTCAATAAATGTAGTTTAGGAATGACATAATGGTTAGAGCAAACACATATTTACGTTAAATATGCTAAAAAAATTATGTAATCGTCAGATTCCTTCGCGAAGGCAATATTCAATTATGATACACGTATTTACCTGTGTTCGATATAGCTCACGTACGTGATAGTGCATATACATATATATGGCATATATCGACAGTCAAATTAGTTTTTTGGACCATATCGCTGCCTATCCCTACAAAACATGTAGTGTATACAAAAGTATCACATATATTTTTGTGATAATTCAGTACAAGGAGTGATGTATTTACGCTACAAGATAACCTTAGTTGACGATGGTGCGATATCTCAACATGTGTATGATCCGTGTACATTACATATAACATGTAAATCAAACTCGCTTGTTTTCAGACAACCAACACCAGTATCATCTGAAAAGTAGCTATAAATTCAATTACGTGCCTGCATTTTGGTATGACAAACATAGTATGACAGTATCACTGTAGGAATTAACTATTTATGTATGTCATAATATAATAAATTCATTTTATTGATGAAATGTGTTTCTCCGGGGGGTTGTAAATAAGTACGTATGTTCGTTTCGATTATATTACAACATGTTTCAAATACACTGAATCAGGTCTCCAAAGAGGGCGGAAATTACAAGCGTTTCACAAACACAATTGAGACAATTTTGTCCTGCCGAGATCCTTCTCAATGATAGGTCTACCACCTTGCGCTATTGACAACACAATAATGAAATTGACAAGACTAATCCAATACCACGTATGTATTAGTATGATGAATAGTTATCGGGGGAGTGGGCTCATTATGGCGGCCTTAGTAAGTGAGCTGGCACTTTAGGTGGACATTTCGGCCAATTGAGGTAAACAGGATTGCTATTGACATCTCGCCGTGTTCATTTCACTGATAGAGACACAGTCTCGTCAAATGTAGTGTACATTTCACGGGGGTGTTTATTGCATTTCTAAGCCTCAGTTCACTTCAGTGGAATTAAGTTCTCTTTGCATTTAAAGCAGTTTACGCTTAATTAAAACACACAAGTTAATATTGTTGGGGATTTTTTTTCCAAATTTTGAATAATTATTATAGGGAGGCCCCCAAAGTGACAATTTAATCCTGTTACAAACTCCTTCGCGAAAATATGTGAAACATTTTAAACACACATTTCTTCAACAGCCCCGTATATACTATCATTAATGCATCACACCTAGAAAGTACAAGAATCGTACCTTACAGAAATCACACGTTATCCTTGGACCATCTCCATTCCCAATTACACTGCCTATTACTGCTGCCCAGCCTAAAATTAGATATTCATATAACTTCTATATCAAAGGCGGCATATTATTGGTATTAACAGGAAGGCCAACACAGACATAAGCACAAGATGAGATGTCGGTTATTTATGAGAAGATGGCACAAAAGACAACGTCGAACAACAAAGCCCATGGGCTTGTCATACCCAGAACAAAAGCTCCAACGCTAATGGAATCCCCCCTCGCTCACAACAGTCCCCGTTGCTGATTAAGCGAGCTCGGAAGGGCCCTGTTTGGAATAAAACGCCATGGACATCCCCAACTAATTCGAGTCTCCTCGCTCATTAAGGCAATGAAGTAATAAGCTCACTCGTCGCCAGAAATTGGCCGGCGTAAGAAGCCTTTCGTTCAGCTTTGATTTCAAAATTGTTAATTTTGTTCCATAATTTATTTCAGCGGTTTACGACACGAACGAAACCCATACAAGTTCACTGCCTTTAAGCTATACGTGCCTGGCACATTGTTTTGAAATACTAATTCTATTGTTTGTCTGGAAATTTAGATCTTTACCTAGACATTATGGGTGATTTCATTGACACCGGAATTTGCTCACTGAATAAGTTGAGTACACTTTCCTTTATCGGATTTTCATGATACCTGTGTAATGTCGTTGTACATCTGCGCAAGGTAATAATGAAGCATATATTTTAAACGGGGTACCAGTATTCGTTATAATTAATAGAAGAACAACATTTTCAATCCATTACGAAATTTCTTTTATGCGTGTAATTAACTTTGGCAATTTGTATTTAGCAATGTGGAAACATTGAACGACTTATGCCGAATATGAGTAGCCGATGATACAATTATGTATTGCTATACTAATGATGGTAACTGGAAAGATGTTATACTGGAGAAATTCTGATACTTTGAATTCATGGAACAAGATAACGATGGCGGATTGATCCCTGGGTTAAATCCCGTCTCTAATTATAATTGTAATCCCAGAATGTAATGAGATAATTAGCAATACCATCACCGGAATGGCCGGAACGAGAAGGGTACAGCCAGTCCTATAACCTAGTTTAAACATACAGGGCAGATGTTCAAAGTAGCTAAGACCATATTACTACATTACCTATGAAGAAACGAATAATGTTCATATAGCTATCATTCTTACTATCCAATGATTATGATAACCATACATGACATCATTACCCAAATGTTAACATAAAACAATATAATTATCATACATTCGTTAATATGCTTTTATCACAATTGTAACCGTGTAAGATAAAGATGACGAATAGAGTG